AGACACAAACTAAGCTTAAAACAAAACAAAAGACTCCACTAAAATGCCCTTTAGGAAAAATAAACCAATACCACATGTAGTGTGCTACAAAATCAGCACACAATAATTGGTTATTGCTAGATAAGCTAGAGGACAGAGACACCAAAAGAGACTAAGCCATTTAAAACATCAAATACCTAGAAGTCATGGGGCTGGAGCAAGCGGGTAGGGCATTTGCCTTGCACGCGGCCGACCCAGGTTTGATTCCCAGCATCCCATATGGTCCCCCGAGCACTTCCAGGAGTTATTCCTGAGTGCAAAACCAGGAGTAACCCCTGAGCATCACCGGGTGTAACCCAAAAAGCAAAAAAAAAAAAAAAAAAAAACCTAGAAGTCAATTTAACAAAGGATGTGAAAAACTTATACATCAGAAACTGTGTTACTATTGAAAGAATTAGAAAAATACTAAAAATTTCAGCAGAAAAAACTGCGGGGTGGGAGCAAAGAAGGAAGTGGGGGAGGTAAGAAGCAGCTCACGGTTATGGCTGGTAGTTTCACCTAAGGCAGAGTGTGTTTGGGGGTGGGGAGGCATCCAGCATTGCCTTTCTGGGTATGTCCACACCTCTGCTGCTTCTGCAGCGTGAGCAAGTGAAGTCTCTGCTAGATATCAAGTTTTCAAGGAGGGAAAAGCTGGCTCTCCACCAGGAATTAGTTCCATGTGCAGGTCATTCCTGAGAGATAGAAAGGCACCTTGCTTTAAACATAAGATTAGGGCCACAGTTACAGTGCAGTGGAACACTTGTCTTGTCTGTGCAAGGTCCTAGCATTGATCTTTGGCACTGAAGGGAAGAAAAGGAGAGGAAAGCACAGAACTTAAAATAATAATAAGGGACGAGCAATAGTATCGTGAGTAAGCCACTTGCCGTGAGTGTTTGATCTCCACCAGCACATCTGGTCCCCTGAGCCCTGCCAAAGTGATCCCTGAGCCAGGAGTAAGTCCTGAGCACTGCCTAAAAAACTAAATAAATAGTTTTTGGTTACTCTTGGGAAATTTGTGGCACTGAGCATTGTTCCTTATTCCTTTTCATTCTTTCTTTTTTGTTTCTTGTTTTTTCAAGTTATTGAGTATGGAGCTAGAGACACAGCACAGGGGTGAAGGTGCTTGCCTTGCATGTGGTAGACTGGGACCTGACCCCTAGCAACCCATAAAGCTCTCGATCCTGCCAGGAAGGATTTCTGAGTGAAGAACCAGGAATAAGTCCTGAACACCACAGGGTGTGGCCCCAAAGCCAAAAAAAGCTAATTAAAAAATAATAAAGTTATTGAGTAATAGGACTGCGGAAATAGTTTTTTGCTTCTGATCTCTTATATTCCATAAATTTCTTTCTTTTTTTAATGAAAACATTTGTACTTTTAAACTGATTTTTAAAAACTACCAACTGAGAGAAAATAAGTTCCAGACTGTGATACAAGACACTTAAAATTCACAGACACAACTTGAACCTGGAATCCAATTTTTCTGTCCAACCTATAAAGCCCTTGGTAGTACAAAGATAATTATGGAAATATGCAGAGACCATTTTTGAATTCAGACACAGGAGGTGTGGGGAAGGCGAAGCACAATTCTCTTGATCCGTCTGGAGCAGATGGATTCCCAAGAGTTACTCACTTTCTCCCACTTGAGTCAGTATGACTCTAAAATAATTACTATTTACTTAGAAATCCATTTTTCCCTGCCTTATTCAACTGCTAGAAAGAAGAAAAAGCCCAGTTAGAACACTTTCGAGGCCACTTCTCACTGCAGCTTGGAGATGAAAGCCCATGGGGTAGATAATTTTCCTCATCTTGGACTAACAAGAAGTGGATGTCAGTAGCCGTATTATCCCTGCCACATATCTCAGGGCAAGTAGAGTTGGGAGAGAATCATTTGATGAAATAAATCCAGGAGAGGTGGGGAGAGGACATGGGAAATGCCCGCCACTTAGTACATCTTGGACCTTCTATCTTGCCAAGATCTGGCCTGTGGCCAGGTAGACCAAAAGCTGGAAGAGTGTCCAGTGACTCAGCCAGACTCTGTTGAGCAGTGAACTGGAAACCGGGCACTCGGTGTTCTGATCCCTTTCTCCAGCACACAGCGCTGCCTCAGTGCCTGTCCTCAGTGCTGGGCCACTGGTCTCAAGCTATCTTCCTTGCTCAGAGGCCATCAAGGCAGCCTGGGTCCAGCTGGACACATCCTTGCATTCTTTGAGTAGCTCCAGATGAACCTGCGCCTTCGTGGTTGCTCTCGGAGTTATCTGCAAAGCCTCAGAGAGGCTGAGTGACAGCGTAGTGTTGTGGGGAGAATGAGGATAGGGCCGTCCTGTTTCAGACTGTCCTTCAGCCCAGCTCCGTTTACATTCCTTCTGTGGTGTTATTGAAAAGACTTTGGCAGCTCCAAAATGTTTGCAATGTCCTTTCGTCTCATTAGGGCTCCTTTTTTTTTTTTTTTGTTAGCTTTCAGTTAGCATCTGGAATGATCGGCTGGACATGCTAGGCTTGTTTTACAAAAATCCGCTTCACCCTTCAGAAACCAGCAAAGAAGCTCACTTCCACTAAGTCTGGAAGAAGTTTTGAATCTCTCCAGCAACAACGACGGTACCTGTTTTGTTTATTTGTCTAGCTCTTCTTGGGGGTGGCTTTAGGCTTTAGGCTTTAGGCTTTAGGAAGTTGCTGTGCAACTTCAAGGGCAGGGCTAGAGAACCAAACATGAACAGAAGGGATCACTTTAGGTTTCTGTCCAAGCTAGTTTGAGGTGTTAAGGTTATGGTTTGGGTAGGAAACTATTACTCTTTTAGGAAAAAACCTTAAATCAAAACTTTTTTGTGCTCTTAAGAACTTTATTTTTTGAAAAAAAATTAGAACAACCTACCTACAAACATACTTTGAATCTATGCCTGTTGGGGCAGTTGGCCGCCTGTTCTTGTCACTTGCTTCATCTCTAGCCTGGAGCAGGAGGAAGAAGCACCTGGATCTTCTGGAAGAAACTGCCGACATTCTAAGTGGTAGAATGCAGACTCAGTGGTTTATCACATACCACTCAAGCGAAAGGGAATGTGTTTTACAGGCAGCTATTAAAGAGTAAAGCTTTGGATTCTGAGTTGCTCCGTTGCTAAAGGCGAAATTTCCTGCCTGTCCTGGCTCATCAGAAGGGGTTTGTCAACACAGAACTTCTGAAGAAAGAGATTTAGATCTGAGTGAGGAAAAAAATTCGTTCTTAACTGCTGGCTGATGTCAAATTCTCCAACTGAGAAAATGCCTGGAAGGAAGAAGAATCACTGACCTTAGACTTGCTTGCAAGATCTGTACTTTTTTTATTTGCATGTTTCTAAGTCAGAAGAGTTAATTATTTGCTCCACAACGTTACCGTGTGGCTCCAGAGTCCACTCTTAAGTTCTGATCATGGCATTGCTTTCTGGAGCACCTCCTTTCTGTGGACTTTACTCTTCAGTGATGAACTTGGACTGGGGCTCCTTTTGGTTTCTGAGCCAAGACCCTGAAGCCCTGGATATCAACAGAATTGCCATGGAAAGTTCGCCCATTTTCTCAGTAGGTTTTTGGAAATGTTTGTCATCACCCGAGCAGAATAACAAACACAAAGAAGCAGAGGGAAGATTATTACCAAACCCTGAAAGTGAATGAGCCGTAGAGGAATAACTACAATCAGTAAAGGTTCTGGAAAGAGGGGTGGGTGTGCTCTGTATTATTATTTTTTCCTAGATGGAATTCCCAGGTCATTGTGGTCAGTCATGAGTATGAGACAGAGAGATCATGGGCAGTAATGAACCTGACTTCAAATTGCTTGCTATCACGGCAATTTTAAGTATTTATTCTTCTCTACTTGTTGAAACACTTCGTCGCTGCTGTTTCTGTCCCCCGGGTAATAATAAAACAACCCGAGCACGGCAGCAGCTAGGGTGATTTCCATGTCTTATCCCTTCCCCTCAGCGACTGGGTCCCTTATACTATTCATCAGCATAACCTTGGAGATGTTTCCACTTAATATTTCAGTAACTTCCCTTCTTGTGTCTGGGGTGGTGTTTGGTACCATTTGTATCTCGGTGCATGTTGTGATGAGCTAAAGCCAGTGTGGATCGGAAAGCAATGTATAATTGATCCTGGTCCACTCCCCAGCAACTAAGGAAGGTATAAGCATCCTTCCTCTCAATACTCACTAGCTGGGTTAAGGTGTGGTGGCCAGGTGTGTTTGTGTTGTACTTAGAAGTGGGAATCGAAGGTTTGAGGGCTGAAGAGGAAGGTAAAAGGGTTTGCATGCAGGAGTGAGGGAAATTCCAAACTCAGATAGCCTTGTGATGAATCAGAATCATATCACTGCTTGAACTTTCCCTTTACGTTCCAGAATATAAACCCTGCTCTTTCCGTAGGTTTCAGAGCTGTTTATTTGTTGTTTCTTACACAAACTGATCTCTGTAAATGGGGCCACAGAAGTCCATCTCCATTCATTGATTTCTTAGGAGAAAATAGGGGGATTTGATTCCCCGTGCCCTTGTGTTGACCTTGCCTGGGGGAGAGGGCTAGCCGAGCTTAGGATGACCTCATCCATTCCAGCAGGATTTCCCGGGCCATGCCGAGCCGCATTCTTCTGCCTTCCCTCTACGATCAGCCACTTTTAAGTCCATGAGCTTCATAGCTTATTACAGTGACATCGATTATTGGACCCTGTAGAACTGGAGCGTGAGGTCAGGCAAAGACAAAGCAATCATTATGCGTGGAAGTGCAGAGACCTTCTTTGTCAGCTGGGGAGGCAGGAGGTGGGGCCGTGAGGTGGGGCCCAGGCTAGGAACTGTGCTGTCTGAGGCAGGAAATTGGCCTGAAAGGAGATGGAAGGGCTTTGGTGGGAAATAAATGGCACTGTGTTGTTGACGGAAAAAGATCTTGGCAGGACTGTTGTTGTGAGTGTTCTGTGGCTTACAGAGGAATTTCCTACAGGCTGGACTAACCATTAAAAATGTCTCTACCTTCAGGAGTCCCAGGCGTGCCGTAGAGAGCCTTGCTGGGGAGATGTCAGCTTGGACCATGGGCGCCCGAGGTCTGGACAAGCGAGGAAGTTTCTTTAAGGTAAAAGGAATCCTGGGTTGGAATCGCTTGTGGTCAGCGTGCTGGCTTCACTGGGCTGCCTGGGAGCTGCAGGCGCTCCGGCAAGCTGCAGAGGAAAACTGTGCGTTTTGAGCCAGCTCAGGGTGACCGAGCCCGCCTGAGCCCAGCTGGGAGCTGTTACCGGGATTTACAGTAGGATGGAGTTTGTGACTTAGTGCCCCCAGACAGTCTCAGGGCCCTTGCACCCAGAGATGCCATTCTTGTGAGACAATGGATGCAATCTTTAGTAGTGAACGGCTCAGCTGTTGGGTTTTACTCCCCCCCCCCCCCCCCATGGACAGATTTATGATGGGAGCTGAACTCAGCACTCCATTGAATCAATGGTGTAGGCCTATGTCATCTGCTCTTTGATTGTATGAGTCCTTTAAGTATTTGTTAATAACAGGGGCAACCAGAGCCCTGGACCTCCCTACACCTGTGTATTCCAAATCAGCCCCCGAGGAGCACTGGAGTGATGCAAGGCGGTGGAAGTAGTCTCAGGTGCAGTTTGGGTGGGTGCTTTCTGTTTGTTCACTTAAAAAAGGTCAGTTCCTGAGGAGGAATGCTGAGTAATTTTATTTATAGAAAGGAGGAGGGGTAATAACGTTGGAGAGCCTGTGCCTTAGGGTGAGTAAATGTAATTTCTGGTGTCTTTTGTCAAATATTACATAATTCTCTTAAATCTCACAAGATAGGACAAAGGCAGCTTTATTAGCACAGTAATTTTTCATGATCTGTATTATTATTAATATGGCAAAATTTTTGTGCTTGCTTCCTTAATGTGTTCATATTCTAAGTGGGTGTTTATACTTGGGTACACGTGGGTGTTATGCTCTTAGTCTCTGTGTTTTAAATTAAGACTTGATATCCTTTTTACTTTACACTTGAATAGTTAAATTCTTCTTGGGATTTTTGCTTTATGTCCTTTTGCTTCCCCTCAAAATGAAGTGTACTCACTTGTTGAACATTTGGAAAATACAGAATCATGTCAGAAAATAGAAAAAGGAAGATAAAGAATAAGCAAGGATTCCAGCATCAGATCATTTTCCCTCAGGAGTATATAAAAGACCTCTTGATTTTCTTACATAGGGAAATTGATAATGCTTAATGATTAGCCTACCCTAATATGTTGTAAGTATTTTTTCACTTTCATATACAGTGACCATTTCTAAGCGATCAAAACTGATTTCTTCTTATTTAAACTGTAAATTAAAAAAATAATAAATTCATCAGAAAAGTGTTACAGCTCTAAGTTCAACAATCTCACTGATTGAAGGACAGTTTTATTGGTATTTTAGCAAAGGTACGTTAAGAGACATATTTATGGAGCTCTGGGGTCTCAATCCAAGTTCATTAAGCTGCATTATCTTCAAGGAACTGAAATGATTGCATTTGAGCAGCTAATAGTTCAGAATCAAATGAAGACCTTCAAGCATCCTAACAAGTAAATCATTGTTTGATAAGCAAGCTACCACAAGGTGAGCAAATCTTGAAGCCAGGACAAACTTGTTTTAAGGAATTTTCTGCAGTGAACAGTGTGGTTATTTATTGGTTTGTAATCTTTACTTCCTGGACAAAAATATCCTAGAAGAAATAGTATGTTGACACAGATGGTCTCTATTCTCAATCCTTTAATGGTTAAACTCCATGGACATAGAGTCTCACTTCTCAATAGATTACTCATTTTAATTAAAAGTATGACATCTACCCACATGAGGCAGATGAGGAGATGGGGATTCTTGAGTTTCCTTAGACCAGGAACTAGTCCCCCAACTCTGACCCCCACTTCTACCCACCCCAGACTCCTGACTTATCCTTAGTTTCTAGATTCCATCTTACACTGAGATATTTATTCTTGCCTGGTAGAAGCCATGAACTCTAACTCCACCTTAACCTGAGGCATTGTCTGTACTAGCCTAAGTTCCAGCTCCTCCATAATTACCACTATATTCTAAGAGCACAGTGGGATTGGGTTTTACATAGTAGTTAGATTTGAAAGTCACTGCAAAAGAAGAAAATCAAGCTTATTTAAAATTGTTGTTGGGGTGCTGAGAGATATTACAGTGGTCAGGGTGCTTGCCTTACACGTGGCTGACCCAGGTTCGATCTCTGGCACCCCATATGGTTCCCTGAGTGCAGAGCCATGAGTAAGCTCTGCACATTGCCAGTGTGTCCCCGAACCACCCCCCAAATAAGATAAAATTGTCTTCCGAAAGTACCAACATTAAGTCCTTCAAAGCCAATTTTTCCTGCAGTCCTGGGTAAATCAAGTTGTGTTTTATTCTTAATTTTGGTTGAACAGCAGTTAAGGTAGTTGACAGCTATTTCTGGTCTGTCTTACAAAAACATCAGTCAGGCAAGAGATGAATTGCCTGCCTCAACCTGCTGAGGCAAGTCTTCTGCCATCATTCCTGTGTCCCAATGCCCTCGTGGAAAATGTTGGACTGCGTGAATTGATGTGTTGAGAACTTGATGTATTGAATTAGTGATTTGCGAATTATAGCTTGTTGAATGAGGAGGCACAAGGCACCCCTGGGGGTCAGCAGGGAGCTCCTTTAGCATCTGGAGAAGGGAGTCTTAGTTTTCTTGGAAGGTTGTTTCCATCCATCCACTCACTTACTGTAAGGGAATTGGGCCTGATGTCACTCGTTTTTCTCTGCATTTAACTCTTAAGTGGTTAATTTAAAGGTGCCCCAGGAAAAGAAGCAAAGTAGGTACTTGAGGCAGGAGTCAAACTTATGTCCCATCTAAATGTCCACACGGGTGTGAGCCATACTGTCCTCCTGTAAGATGCCTAGTGCCTCATCATATTTGTTACTGTCCTTCCCAACCCCAAGCCCCAAGTGCTTAAATTGTTTGTTGAATGCCCCGTGTAAATTAGTTACTTTATACTTTTTCCTTTCGTTGCTCTTCTGTATAGACTTTGTATTTATCATGGCTATTCTATAAGTAGTTATCATAAAATATTATAACATTAAACAAACATATATCATGTATTATTTATTTCATTATTTTGGCATATACGTATTTGCATGTATGAAATAAACTACCCTTCGAACACTTTATACAGATTCCTTTAGAGATACAGTTTTAAAATGCCAGGGTAAGGTTCATTTGCTAAGTGGTTTGTCCCTCTCCACTTTGGTGCCTGTTGGCCCTTATTTCATGCTCCTGCTTCGTTTCTACTTCCATTTATTGAGCATTCAGATCAACTAAACTCTACACTCAGCACTGGAACAGAAAAAAACAGAAGCCACTCTTGACTTTATGGAGTTTTCATGAGAGCCCGAAAAAACAAAAAAGAAATAGTTTCAACACTAAACAACTAATTATAAATCCTAGTTGACATCACTGCTTTGTATTAGTAGTAAAAGGGGTGCTGTGGGGACTGCAGAGAGGATAGCAGGAAACGTGATTGCTTGGAGCCAGGAAGATACTACAGTGCATGAGGCAGATGCCTCACATGCAGCTGACCTGGCTTCCATCCCTGAGCACTGCTAGGAGTGGTTCCTGAATACAGAGCCAGGAGTAACCCCTGAGCATTGGCAGGTGTGATCCAAAAACAAAACAAAAAAACTAAACAAGTAACCAAACAGAACAAGCCAAAAAGGGAAAGGTGCTTGCTTGCCTTGCATATGGCCAACCTGGGTTGATCCCCATCTCTCATGTGGTTTCCTGAGTATAGCCAGGAGTGATCCCTGAATGCAGAGCCAGGAATAAGTCCTGAGCATTGTGGGGTGTGGCCCAAATACCAATAACAACAAATGAGGAAGTGAGAAAAATTAACCTAACAGGGGAGTTTTAGAAAAATCTTTCTTAAGAAAGTGACCTTTGATTTGAAAGTTAAGGCTCAACTAACAAGATGGGTTCAGGCCACATTTTGGTGCAACTCTAAGTTGATCCAAAGCCACGCTCCACATGAACCTCTAGAACTTTTCTACACTTGAGAATTCTAGGATTGCTTTCTTGGCTTCCATTTGATTTCCACTTGCTTAGTACGCTTTTTTGGTTATTAGGACTCATCAGGTTTTGTGTAAAGGATTGATAATTCAAAGGCAATCTCTGGACTTCTTTTTTATAATTAACTTCCCTTATTTAGTTTGTGCTTTGAAACCAAAGTTTCTAACCATTACAGCAAGCCTTGATTTGTGGTTTCCTATCTTTTTACCTGTGAAAATGACTCAGATTAAGTCACAGAACATGCATGGATCATGAAGGCCCTCAACAATTTATAGAGTAGCTGATCATTCTGTAATAATCGAAAAATTTCCCATGATTATTATTCATGTGGCCTTATATCCTGGAAGCACTGACCGCAGAAGTTTGATATCAGATAAACACACTTTCCACAGTCCTCTACAGCCCTAATGTTCATTTCCTTCCACTGCTGGCAAGAAATAGAATCTTCCCACTTAAAATTTCTCTGAAAATGCAGTGAGGAGGCAGGTGCTACCCTGACCAGATCATTAGTTGCCTACACCTCCGTAACAGAAGTGGACACTAAATCCACAGATTTCAAGGGATTGTTATATCCAAGAGACTATTAAAAATGATGTTATGAAAGCTGTAAAAGTTCCATGTGATCCCATAGCAAAGCCGAGAAGCTCACTTCTCTTTATCTTTCTTTGATTTTCCTAAATTGCACAGTGAATCCATTTGGGAGATAATGGATGACACTGACAGTACATCTGCGCCACTGAACTTCATTTTTTTCACCCAAATCACTTCGTCCTACAGGTTATCTCTTGGATACTCCCTCTCCTTCTGGGACCCAGTTTCAACTTAGCATTCTACAACTTCATAGTAAACGACTTGCAGGCTGTGCTTCTACCACCTCCCAACTCTTTCTACTGACTCTGTCATTGTGCTAATCTGGGCTGTGTCTCTAGCTTACACCTGCCAGTATTTGACTTCCCTAAAACACCACTCAATCCCTCCTAACTGTCCATCCTGTATTGGAGTGGTCTTCCTCTATCCACTGA